CGTTTATAAGGTACTCAGCTGAATATGAGCACTACTTATCATCCACAAACAAATCGACAAACTGAAGTGGTAAACAGGTGCCTAGAAAATTACCTCCGATGCTTTACTAGCGACAAGCCGAAGGAATGGGTCAAATGGCTTCCCTGGGCAAAGTGGTGGTATAATACCTCTTATCAGTATTTTATTAAAAAGACTCCTTTTGACGCAGTTTATGGTCAACCCCCACCTACAATTACAAAATATGTACTCGGTTCTTCTAAAGTTGATCAAGTGGACAAGGAATTGATGGATAAAAATAAGATTATTCAGCTTTTAAAGGATAACTTTACAGCCGCACAAGCAAGAATGAAACAACAAGCTGATAAACACTGAAGTGAACGAGAATTTACTGTGGGTGATTGGATTTTCCTTCGTCTTCAACCCTACAAGCAAACTTCCATAAAGGTCCAATCTTCCATGAAGCTATCTCCTCGATTTTTTGGGCCTTATAAGGTATTAGAATACATTGGACCAGTTGCCTACCGCTTGGATTTGCCTGCTAAAATACATCCAGTCTTTCATATTGCATGCCTTAAAATAAAATTGGGTGAAGATGCCATAGTGCAATGCCATTTGCCGGACACCTCTACTATTGGGGAAGTTCAAGCTCAACCATAAGCCATACTTGATCGACGAGTTGTAATGTACCGTAGACATCCTGTAACTAAAGTGCTAGTGCAATGGGCCAACTTACCAAAGGAAGATGCCACTTGGGAGTCCTACAGCATGCTAAAGGAGAAGTTTCCAGAATTTGATGCTACTCAGCCTTGAGGACAAGGCTGAATTGAAGGAGGCGGGATTGTTAGGATCCTTTTATTTTTCCCTCTATTTTCTATGCTTTAATTTTATTTTATGCATATTTATTAAGTCTATTTAGTTTAACTAAAGTCGGAACTCTATAAATAGAGATGTAACTGTTTCTTTTCAGTTATCTATGAAAAATACTATTATGTCTTTTGACAAGCCCTAGGAGGCCGATCCCCTCGAAGCGATCAAAGAGGGCCGATCCCCTCGAAGTGATCATCCCCTTTCTCTTCTTCTTTTTTACGATAAGACTTTAGGGTCTTATCATTCAACATAACTTAGCTAACCCCACATTAGAGTCAGAGTCATCGGCGAGTTAAAGCAGCATGACAGATTAAACGTTCGACTACTTAATAACAACAGTGGAGAGCAGTTAGGAGCCAAGAGGTGCATTGCAATTGGAGCAAAAGATTGAAGGTTCAGTAAAGGAGATGAGTAGCAACGTCGGCAAAGGCTTCGACGAGGACGTCGAAGGAATAAGTGAGGGAGAATGTTATGGACAAAATTGTAAACAGGGTGTTCGATATAATGCTTACATATGTCCGTGTCTTTTGGTTTGTTCATGCTTTACATAACATGAAGAGGGACGATCGAAGGCTTAATAGCCCCATTTTAGTTGGGTTTGGTGGTCGTTTTCGACTTGTAAATAAAGGTTGTGTCATGTGAACACTTGTAGGGATTTTGGTCTGTGGTGGACCATTTTGGACCTTTTGTTGTGCGACCGTTCAGAGCTTGTGAAGTCTGTTTGTAATTTGCATTGGCTATGAGGTGTTTACTAAACTGATTGCTTGTGGATCCCGAGTGAAACGTTTTCTCTAACTCGTTTTCTCTTTTGTAGCTCCTAAGGTACCATAGGAAGTTTCGGGGAGGCAGACCTTTGCGGACGTTCATACAAGGGTGCCGCACGACTTAGGCAAAACTAGCTAAGTGTGTGACATTATGACTAACAGTAATATGGTGATAGTTAGTCATTCTTCTCTGAGCAACAATACGATAATCGATCTTATGATACAAAGCAATAGGTCAATGACTAATTAAAAGTTTCGACATTCTCCAACCACCGTACCAATACATGCCATAATCATACTTGTCCTAGGAGCCGCCTTAGACACGTGTGGTTCATAATGATCAAACTACGACCATCACCATATTGATGCACCAATGGCATATGGTGTATTAGTATTATAATATATCGTGGGATCAGTTTCAAGATTGAGATTGATAAACATATCATATTGATATACAAATTAGTAAGATCGAGGACCCCGATCCATCACTTGTGGAATCTCATTATTCATTTTGGTAATAGAACCAAATATATCTATCAATCGATCTATTTATTATAAATCTTCATTTAAATCTTAAAGTTTAACTCATAATCTAATAATTCAAATTATTTCTTTGCAGATAATTCAATATCAATGGAAGGATAGAATGGGATGTGCCACAAAATAGCTACTCAAAACCTAAAAAAGATATATGCCAATATTTCTTCCTAATTTAGAATATTTTTTATGAAATTATACTAAATTTACATTTAGTTTTAACTTAACCGTAATCTAAGTTTTTTTTTTATTTTAAAGTAATTTTGCAGAGTTTTTGGGAGAATTTTGTGTGTCGTCGACACACACTGTCGTTCCAACACTCAGCAAACCGGTACGGGGTAGCACGTGTCATGCCGCTGATTGGTCGACACGCTTGCTTGGACTAGTAAGTCGAACCTTACTAAAGAGTCGAACCTTACTAAAGAGTAGAACCACATTATAGCTTAACAAGAAAATCATCTATGACACTTTTGTTCTTGTAAAATCAGATCATTGCTAATTTTCCGAATAAGTCAGCAAAGAATAACTAACAAGTTGTCCCAAATAAGACTTCAACAAGTTAAGCTGAAACTCTCTCCAAGATTCCAACTATATATATTTAGTCATGGAAAAAGAAAGAATGTCCATCAGAACTTGACAGAAATAGAAAGAAGCACAGATGTTTTTTAGACTTCAATCTACATACGTACTTCTTTTCTTTAAGCTTCTATTATCTATTTTTTGCTTGCATCTTCTTTCACCTTTGGGAAAAGATAGAAGATTATAAGAAACAAAGTAATACTTCTTGACCTAAATATATGGAAGTTTGCAGTAAGGTAAGCAGCAAGAATAAATGCAAACCAGAGAGCACCGTAATTTTAGAGTGGTTCGGTTAATCTTGACCTACATCCACTTTTGGCTTCCTCCTCCGACGAGGTCACCGACGTCCACTAGAGGCCTTCCTTCAATAGGCGAAGGCCAACCACCCTTTTACAGTTTCACTCCTTTTGACGAGCTTAGGAGACAACCCTTACAGAATTTTCTTTCCTCTCTTGACAGATCAAAACTTGAAAGAAAAGAGGAAAGAAGACTTTTAACTCATACAACACTTTTGAGCTCTAAAAATCACAGAGTATGATTGGATTTTCGGGGCATTTGGTTATCCTTTCATTGCTGAAAGGGTGGGGTATTTATAGGCCCCAAACCAGTTTGAATTCCGAGCTCAAAACTGTCATCTCCCGGAATTCCGGGGTCTGGCGGTTGCACCACCTAGCAAAGCTCGGAGACTGAGCCTCTGGGCGGTGCCACCTCCTGTCAGGGGCGGTTGCACCGCTTGGTAGAGCTCGGAGACTGAGCCTCTAGGCGGTGCCACCGCCTGACAGGGGCGGTTGCACCGCCCAGTCTCGCTCGGAGACTGAGCCCAGGAGGTGCCACCGCCTGACTGGGGCGGTTGCACCGCTTGGAAGAGCTCGGAGACCGAGCTCAGGCGGTTCCACCGCTTGTCAGGGGCGGTTGCACCGCCCGACCTAGCTCGGAGACTGAGCCCTGGGCGGTGCCACCGCTGGCCAAGAAATCTAGGTCCGAATGGGCTGATCCATTCGGCCCAATTTGGGTCTGTCAAGGGCCCAATTGCCCCAAGATTAAGTTAATGGGATCACCTCTCATTTCTAACTTAATCATCGTGCTAACTACAATATTTCTTAAGACATTTACTGTAACTTGCTCCGGTGCGTCAATCGCTTCTTCCGGCAAGCTTCCGGCGAACTTCCGTCGATCATCCGATGAACCCTCGGTGATACTCCTACGGACTTCCGGCAAACTCCTGGACTTGCGACAATCCACTTGGCGAGTTCCGACGAGCTTCGTTTAGCATACTCCTGGACTTCTCGGATTTGTTCTTGCAGAACCTCTGACGACCGTCTGGACTTCCGTCGAACTCTCGAACTCCTAACGTGATCATAGTTTTGACTCCGGCACAACTCCTGCTGCATGTCTTACTTCTATCGTAGTTAATCCTGCATATGTAAAACAAAACTTCGATCGAGACAATTAATCCTAAGCAATTAACCAAGTTGTCTGGCATGTCATTGGTCCCTCGACGCTTCATCCGATTCTTCAGCGCATCGTCCTCTCCTGCGGCCTATTGCCCAATCGGCCAGTTAACTCCGCAACTCCGATATCCTTGGCGCAATACCCGCTCTTCTTGGCCCGATGCCCGAGTCCACGGCCCGAAGCCTTCTGTCGATACGTCGACCGATCCACCGGCCCGACGTCCAATCTTCTGACATGTTCCTCCGGCACAACATGATTTTTCCTGCTTTAATTGTCTCATCCTGATCGAGGCATCCTGCGTTACTCAAAACGCAGATTAAAACATAAACACAATTATCAATTGGTTTCATCATCAAAATACGAGATTCAACAAGGATTACAATGTTCTCTTGAGCGTTAAGAAGTTAATACATGACTTAGAAGGGGAAACTGGTGCCTATACATGGTTCATGTTTTAAGACCAGCTGAGACATGAAATGTAACACATATGTCAGATTAAATTGACCATTAGAACACGACATACTGCAGATGCTTAAATCAGTGCTTAGAGATCCTGATAATGTGTCAAATAATTCAACATATATGTCAAACAGTGTTTTAAGAACACTGGACATTTACAAAATCAATTTAAAACTTCAACATATATGTCAAATAATTCTTCCTGATAATGTGTACTGCAAAATGTATGATTTCATCACACAAAACCATCAGAATCTAGCACCATCAGATATAATATGTGTTGAAAGAAAAAAATGGGGAGACAAACAGAGAGGGAGTGTGAGAGAGAATGCAGAAATTTACCTCTTGCTCTCAGCCAAAGGCTGTGGAGAAGAAAATATGACAGCAGTATCACTGTCTGCTTCAGTTTGTGTGCCTAATGTAATAACATTCCAAATTATGCAATAAGTTCATGTGCAAGTACAAATTACGAGTGGCTAGAAAATTTACTTCACAATAAAAATATGCAAAGTGAAATTTAAACTCTTTTTTATTAGATCGCTGATGTCAAAAAAATCCATGTGATGATTTAAATTGTTTGACATAGTAAGATGATTTGATCACATAAGCAAATCAATTCATCTAATATGTGAGAATCTAAATCCATGATGACAAAAAAATTAAACACTAAAGAAAATTAGTCAAATTTTGCAGCACGAACAAAGGCTCAAATTGGATTAAAAATATTGGAAATACAACCCCTCCTTTTGTTATTTTACACTAGAGTACAGACAATTATGCAAAGATCAAGAAACAATTATAGACGTACATTAATTTTTTATAATATTTCTCATGTGACAAATACAAGGATCCTTAACAGTTTAGGATGCAAAGCAGGTTAACAGAAAGGAGATAAATTTTAAAAAAAGAGAAAAAATTATAATATTGTTTATGATACCCAAATATTCCATATCAATAAAATAATAATCATAAACTTGAACACATGAAATGAATGAACTACAACTGGTAAATTATGCATTCCCAATTTGGCCATTTCTGTAGTAATTTTTCTAGTGCATATTTAAGAAAAATGAATTCTTATATCAAATATGAGCTAATATTTCTGATTGATTTATTTCCATGTGCAAGATCCACTATAAGAAATACAGTGTGATTTTAAAGCATCATCTCTTAGTCAACATTGAAATAAGAAAAAGAAAAAAGCATCAACTAACAATAGAAAAGGAAAATATAGTGGGATGAGTCATACCACAGGACTCTGATGGAGGAATTTTATATGGCATCTTAACCAAACACTGTAATGTATTATCGAGCTTCAGAACAGTGACATTTCCAAGGCAGTCCCCGACATAACTAGATAAGTAGCAACTTAAATATTTAAGTCAACAAAAATAAAATAGACCATTACCACTTTCAGCAACAGAATATAAAAGATGACTACTTACATGTAGAAACTTTGTTGCACCACAACAAAAGAGGTAATTTCTTCATTGAAAATGTGCACATGTGTTACTTGTTTCTTATCAATGTTCCACACCTAAAAAATGATGGAATGTTTCAACAAGATAAACACAAACTTGAAATCTTAAAATACTTATTCCAACATTAGGATGATTGTAGTTTTTTTTTTTATAAGAAACCATTTCATTAATTCACTAAAGGTGGACCAATATCTGAGTACAAGTTAGGGTTGAAATCGGATCCTCAGGAGATAGCCACCTCCTGGGTTCTAGCAAAAAAAGCACGGTTATGTGCTATCACATTCACATTTCTCCTAATGTGACAAAACTTCACATGACTGAAACTCATCAGGATGAATGTAGTTGGAAGTGCACAAGTTAAATAAAAAGGAAGGTGTGACAATCCATGCTAATCAAGACCACAAAATCAGAAGAAAATAAAAAAGTTCAAAGAGGATACACTTAGTTCAATGATAAACAAGAAGTTCCAAAGTTCAATCTACCAACAAGGCAAACAGATTTTATGGTGTGACTAGTAACAAAAAAGTAGTACTAACAGATGCATATGAACCCTTTGCTGATTTGGATTCACCTAATTAGTTCATTGAGGTCCACGAATATATTGATTACCATAATCATGGTTGGTTAGCATCAATTTAAAAAGTTGTTGCAGATAATAATAAATATAGACAATGATGCATGGTAACCATAGTTTTCTATATGCCTAAAACTAAAAATGGGTAGTGCAGCTGCACAAAGTTGGCATCAATAAATTTTATTTATCTAGATTCAGATTTTAAGATCAGAGATCTCTCACCAATGTAGTGAACAAGAATTTCAAGTACTTGCCTCAATATGATTATGACTAGTCACATTTAAAAGGATGCCTTGATTCTCCATGAACTGCAAAAAATACAGACAAAATTAAGTCAACCCAAAATTATTAGCCAAAGAAAGCCATATGACATGTCAACAGGCATAGAGGGCAACTATTGTATATCAACTGCCAATTTAGATTCAAACTAATGGCCAGTTACTAAAAATTATCATTGACAATGATGTATGCAAGATATTAGCTAGCTAAAGCTGCAATATTTATTATGGCAAACAGTAAAGGCCTTATATTATCATATACTATTTAACATATAAAGACTGAACATACCGAAACAAGATGTAGCCAAATAATTACAATAAAATACTGTTACGCATGAAAAAGGTCAACAATGTGGAAAGCTAATAATTTTCTTCTCATTTCACCAAAACTCAACAATTTCATTTCTATCTAAGAAAAAATTTCCTTAAAATATGAATTTTCAAAATTTGCAGGTTTGTATCTTAAATTCTAGTATAACATACAGATTTTTTCGTGTTTTCCGAAATCCTTTTCAGAAAATATTATGTAATATAAAGAAAGTATGTATACATTATAAACATGTACACTAACATATAGAACATGTGAAACTTGTTTTATAATATAATGCATCAATTTATAGTCTCTTTCAGATATCTTATACAAAAATTAGCAGTTCAGAATTCATTTTGCTGCTCCTGTTTGTTTCCTGTTGCACCACTCCTTTATTATTATGATATTATAGCTTAATAATCATATCACGTTTATATTTTTTTGTTTTTTCAAAAAGCAACATTAGTCTTGCTATCAAGAATTAAAGACTTATCAAAACTAATCAAAAGAAATCTCAATAAATTATATGTCATCATGTTCAACAGCCTTTACCAAGGACTACATACAAGATACAAGCATGTAGGTCACAAGAATCAATAATCTCACATCCAAACTATCTTCGGCATCTATTAGTACCACAAAATTTTCAAGACCCTTCCACTGTTTCGAGAAATAAGTCTACATAACCAAGAAAGATAACCATAGGAAGATCAGGAACCCTCGTAATAAGTCAAAAATCATGATACATCACAGTGAAGCGAGGGGGTGGGCTTGGAGGGGTTCAAGAACCTGCATGAACTTGGAGGGGGAGGCGGCCTCCGACTGAAGAAGAGCTTGGCTGTTGTCTTTCCCGAGCAACTTGATGACCCCATTCCTACAAACAGCAACACGAACACATTAAGCAAGAATCGATGCCGGCTTCTTGATCCGAAGCAAGAAAGTGCAGGGGAGGGATGAGACGAAGAGCGTGGGGCGCTCCGACGAGCTTCTCTTCTCCTCCTAACCTGGTGGATATGGCGAGGATGTGCTGAATGGGGTCGTAGGCCAGAGAGGAGGATTCGGGCGGGACGCCATAGTGGAAGACGAGGCGCGGCCTCACCTCCTCCGCCTTCAGACCGTTGATGCCGCCGCCTCCATTGTGCTGTAATTTTGGAAAGACCCCTTAATTGATTCCAAAAAATTAAATTATTAATTTATTCTTCTATCTATTTTATTATAAAAAATATCATCAGCATCTTACCCGTCCACGTGTACCTTATTTTATATTTCGAGTTATTTACAAGTGACAGGCATATCACGGTTAGGATTGTTATTAGGACAGATTTATCAAGGATTCACATCCGTTGCGTCTTATAACACCAAAATAATAATTCATATTGATTCAAGATAGATATCGGACATATACTCGTTGCTAAAAATCGATCCGAGAACCCTACATTTAATTCAATCATTCCTCTTCAATCCCGTGTATTTTAAACGTGGGAGTCGATGAGAGAAGAACACGTATACTAAAGCATACGCATCATCTTCACCCTTCTCTGGCGGGATTCCAACCCCTCCGCCCCATGTGAGTGGGCTCCATCTATTTTATTGTGGGGTCCATGACTCGTCGAGATACTTGGTCGACACGCAATGACGTTTAGTTACGTCCGACACAAGAAGTCGTCCCTCGTCGCCCGTATCAGAAAACTTTAGTGACCACATCTTTGACCACCACGTCACTTAAATACATGGTCGGCGAATCCGGTAGTCTCTCTGGGTCTGGCCCACCACAACGCAAGTGTCCTCCACGAGGATGATAATTACAGGTAAACTTGGAATGGATCTCAACCTGCTTCACTGTGTACCGAAACCGTCAGTCCCTCTATATTAATCTCCGCCAATAAATTAAGGATTCGCTTCAAGATCGAAGTACCGGCCAATCTAAAAGATCATATAGATTTAATCTTGTGGATAAAAGACGTTTTAAGTTTGGCGGATAGCACACTGTATCCTAAAACCCAAGGCACGGGCATTGATGAGATCCATGTGACCGCATCAACGCCAAAAGCCACACCAAGTTCTAATGTTACGAAGTTTGTCTTGTCATGTGCTGAAGCGTTACTATATATTATGTTAATTTGGAACTTCCGGAATCTTCTATGAAGAACAATGTTGAGCTTTGGCAGTTCTCAGTGCTATTTCTTCAAGAGAAGCGAGCAATAATAATAGTAATGATCAATGTTGTGACTTGCCACCAATAACAGAAACTGTATAGAATCCTTGTCTGCGATCTATCTATCTATCTTCTAAAAAGAAGATGAATCATCACAAAAGAAGAAACAACAGGGATCGAAGAAGCAGAAGCAGAGGTTGCAGATGAAGTCGGAAGGATTACCTTTCTGGTGGCTTTCTCGACAAGCTTCTTCACGAACATGGCCGAGGGGGGTCGTCCTTCTTCGTCCAACACGAAAGAACAGGAGAAGGAATGAGAGGATTTAAGATCGACGGAGGCCTTCTTCCTTATTCTGCAACGAGAGAAGGGAGGAAAGGAAAGAGGAGAAGCGATAGGGAGAGTTTGGAGCAGTTGCGAGTCCATATAAATAAAAAGAGATGGGAAAGCGGACAAGGGAACGTGGCGTTGCTCCATACGATCTGAGTGATCCGTTTTGTGGTCACCATCAGATACTTCGCCATGAACACTAATGTACCGACGGTGGCCAATAGCTAGGCGACGCGTGCCAGAATTCTCCAATGCAAATCGAAGCTCGCCATGCTCTTTAAATTGTAATAATAATTAATAATATAAAAATAATGATGATGATGATCGTCATCATCATAACTGAATTGGTTTAGTTCTACGGCCGTGTTTCCACATCGTAAACCGATTGCCGCCGCGGTGCGGTGCGGTGGTTCTCTCTGCTCCATCTCCGACCGATTGCGCCGCTCAACATCGGACGTTTTGGAAGACCGCTTTGCGGTCAGATTTGAAGCGTTCTTTCATTTTAGTGAGGAGATTTCGTTGTTTGTTGGCACATCTTACTTAGAGTTACTTTGGGCATGATCTATGGATGAATCTTTGGGTTGGGTTTTGGTGATTGAGGACTTCGTTGAAAGGGTCTGTTCCCGGATGAGTCTTTTTTCTTTCTTCAAAAGGTCACAACTTCAGTCTCAAATGAGACAAGAATCGAGGGTACACCCTGTTCTTCTTGGTTCTAACATGGAGGGTACACCCGTCACGAACATGTCTTTAAAACCCTTATTCGACCACTGGATTTGCTATTCATGCATCAGGTTTGATAATTTTGAGAAATCATTTAGACATCTGGTTGTCCATGAATGGTACATCTCATTTTTTGTTAAGTGTTGATTCAGATGGATGTAAAATTAATGTTGTTTATTTATTATTTATTTCTGCATTGATAGTAAATCTAATGGTTCATAGAATCCAACTGTTTAATCAGGGTGGCATGGGTGATTTAAGTTTACGATGGTGGTGCAGAATCCCCTTGTAACCCCAAGCATTGTTTTAATCAATGTGACCCATAAAAGATTATTACCAAAGATGTATATGTTCAATACCTAGGCAGTCTGAGGATCTTCTAGCTGATTAGCTTTTGTATAAACTGTTGAGCACTAGATATTGTTTTGTCCAATTCAGAGTTCTCTTAGCTTGGAAAAAAGATCTGTTCGAGTTATTTCTGTTTTCTTGTGAATAAATAGAGTCCTTGATTAAGGACTACTGTTATAATTTCTTGCAGAGTACAATCTTATGCCAAGCCGGTCAATGTGGCCATTCGGTACAGATTGGCATAGTGCATTCTGATGTATACTTGTGTGATGATACGTTTCGACCCATGTTGACACATGGTAGTTGTCATGATCAGCAGGATAGTGCTTAACAATATTTCCAGTTGCCCAAGAGATGAGTGTTGAAAGGATTATGACAAGATCAGAAGTTCTCATTTGCAGCTTCTAGTACAATACTAGCACAGGTTGAAAATGTTTTTTTTTTTCCATTTTAACAGAGGACTTTATATTGTATTTTGCATCTTATGCAAGATGAAGTGGTATTTTATACGAATGGAAGCATATCTGATAACAATTATACTCCTGCAGGATACTTACCTACAAGATGAAGTGGTACATTGAAGTTTCACCTTTGGTTTCTGGATTCCCACAATGCCACTGGTGTTTATAAAAAGGAAAAGAAGAAATTATTCCTTGATGATTTTGCTTCAAGTTTTCTGCTACTGATTCTTCACCACCAAACTTGAGTGATGTCTGGTCTGCTTGGTCTTCCAACTGTTTAGCTTGTTTCCTACTCATGATTGTGTAATATTTCCTGTACATTTAAATCTTTCGAGATTTGAGTCCATTAGCAGCATAAGCCTGAAAAAGTTGCAAGTTCTGATTCCATTAGCAGCAGTAGATAATTAGGTCACAAATTCTGAGCACTTCCCGCACAAAACATTTCTAGTCTTCAGGTGTTCATCCTTCATTTTCCAGAGCAAGGGTCTCATAATTCAAGGACTTTCTCAATGGAATTTAGTGATGAAGAAGCTTCCTTCTTTGCTTTAACTGTAAGATTTGATTCTCAGAGGAAAATGTCGGATTGTAAATACATGGCAAAATTTGGGTGTATCCATCCTTTAGCATATCTTTTCTTTGGAATTATTTGGTTGGCCTTGGTCAATGCCCAAAGTTGTAAGATTCTAGTTTCTCATAATGTAGTTTCATGGGTTTTACAGTACTTGTACTCCTGTTTTAGGGTCATCAAGCGCCACCTAATGATGACAGATTATGCTTGATAAACATAGGAGATAGTAAGTGCAGTTAAGTCTTTTTCTTGTTTGTGTTTCTATCTGTGTTTTATAATTCTTTATAGTTCGTGGTGAGATACCTGACTCTTCTCTGGAGAGATATGGCTAATGGATACCAAAAATTATGGGGATGTTAGCTTATTGTTGATGTGTCTAAGATATAAACTTCAGGTTGAGAATCTTGCAAATTTCGAATGGTTTCTTGTGACTATATTCTGATCTACGGTATGAGATGGAGTGGGAGGACATTTCATTTTTATATTTTTTAACTATCAGTTACTCTTCTTGCTCATCATCATAATGAATAATTTGATATAACTTCACGATAAACTTATCTTTAACAATTTATTATTTGACTAAAGTTCAGTTAAGTTTATGCCTGCAACATCAACTGTGAAAGTTACTTGTTTGTTAATCCTACAAGATGTAGCCAAGATGCCTTTGATGTGGAAATGATGTGACAATATTGTAATATTATCATTACCTTGCATAATAAATGCAGAACATGTCACAATTATTCAGTGGTGAGTTTATTCCATCTTAGCACAATTGCCAAAGTTTGCATGTTGGCTATTCAATTGTGGCAACTATAACAAAAGATATACCACCCCTTGGTTCATGGCTCTGCTAGCTATCTCTGTCTCTCCATCCTTGAAATAAGGGAAGATGAATCCACCCTTCCAAGTCTAAGTACAAGTAGTTCAAGCGTTCAAGCTCTATAGTGAAGAGATTGCTGAAATATGGCGGTCAAACGCTTGTGAAGCTGTCCCTTGTCTCTTCCCTACACAACCAGGAAATGTTTCTTATTCCCCTTCTCTTGCCAGCCAAACTCTTCAAAGAGAAGACCAAGTTGGTACGTGACAGAGTTGATGGTGTTTGAGGTGGTTCATTCCTTGAATGATAAGCCAAAGACTCCACTATGCTCATGTGACTTAATCCCACTCAACACGGTTTGTCCACTCTACGCAACGTTTCTACAACGTCGAATTCTCTGAGCCAGCCCTGCACTTCATCTTCTTGTCACCACTTGTGGCTATATAAAGGAAACCAATCTCCGCATCTCTTCATTGTCCATGTCTCTGTCGATCCATGATGCATCAGGCTTCGTTCCATGTTCTGTTTATTTGGCCTCTCGTTGTTGCGTCCTGTGCCTTGTCGTCGGCTGCGTCGAGCTTGAGGCAGGAGCTCGACCGTGTCGTCGGGCTCCCCGGTCAGCCTCCCGTCGGGTTCCGCCAGTATGCAGGGTATGTCACCATAGACGAGGGTCTCGGAAAGGCTCTCTTCTACTGGTTCTTTGAGGCCACACACAGACCTGCCGAGAAGCCACTCCTGCTGTGGCTCAATGGAGGTATTGTATGTTGACACTTTCAGTTGGCTGATTGGGATTGCCTCAAGTTCATGGCGTGGCTGTGTGGGTGTTGCAGGGCCTGGTTGTTCTTCAATTGGCTTTGGAGAGGCACAAGAGATTGGGCCATTTCTTGTGAAAAAGGATGTACCTGAGCTAGAACACAACGAGTATGCTTGGAACAAAGGCATGGCCTCCAACCCTGTCACTGTAATCAGCAGATGCTTCGGAGAGCAATCTCAAGAGTCGGGTTGAATTGCTTTATTGTTTCATTTGTAATGCAGCTGCCAATTTATTGTTCTTGGAGGCACCAGCAGGGGTTGGGTTCTCTTACTCAAACATCACTGATGTGCAAGGTGACAATGCCACAGGTATGATGTTCATCTTCATCTTCACATGTAACGGTGGTGCAAACCACTATATAAAAAAGTCTAACCTTTTCTTTCTTGCTTGAAGCATTTGGTTCCTACTCGTTCCTGGTCAAATGGTTCCAGAGATTCCCTCAGTACAGATTAAATGAATTTTACATAGCTGGGGAGAGTTACGCAGGTACTAAAAATTATTATCTGATGTTGTCTGATTTCTTTTTATATAACTATTTTATCCATCATTGCTCTGATCTTCTCTCTTAAAGGGCATTATGTACCTCAACTTGCAAATGTGATCTTGGAGCAGAACATGAAAGCTAAGAAGGAGGACCATATAAACCTGAAAGGCCTCGTGGTATTGGCAGAGTGCCACACCATTGTTCTCTTTCTTCTACATCTGAAGCTGAATCAATTATAACGTGTAACAACTGACGGAGCTGCTGCAGATTGGAAATGCTGTGATGGATTCCGAGACGGACATCAGAGGAATGGTGGATTACGCATGGGATCATGCTTTGATCTCAGACAGAGTTTACCACAACATCAAAACAAGCTGCAATTTTAGTGCAGTGGCGCCTACTCAAGAATGCAGCAAAGCTCTCCAACAATATTACCAAGTTTATCAGATCATCGACATGTACAGCTTGTACACACCGCGCTGCGAAAGTGGATACCCCAAGTTTTCGTCTTCGGTGGCGCAGGGTGAAGAAAGTTTGATGTCTATCTCAAAATTTGTAAGAGAATCTGAGTTGCTGAGTAATTGACCTTGCAAACTATGAGTGGAGTAGAAGCTATTGTGTTTCTTTTCTTTCTTTCTCATTTGTTTGCATTTCTGATGGTAGGAGGATTTGTTGAAGATACCAATGGGCTACGATCCATGTTTACAAACCTATGCAACGGTGTACTTCAATCGTCCGGATGTTCAAAAAGCTTTGCATGCCAATGTCACAAGACTATCACATCCTTGGTCTCTTTGCAGGTAGTTTAAAATAAGCTAATATGTTTGCGTAAGCTATTAAATATTTTTTGTAGTCAATGTAATATCACTTTACCTCTAAATTTCTTGTGTGTATCAGCTCATCTGTTGTTAGGGCTTGGAGTGATTCTGACAGATCAGTTCTTCCAATTATCGGTAAACTTATCGATGCTGGGCTCCGCATGTGGGTGTTCAGGTGAAATTTTATGTAATAATAGTGTTATGTTCTATATCTTCTTATTCACAATTATGCAATTATCTATTCAATATCTTGTTTAGCTGTCACGAAAATGTTTTTTTTTTTATAATTTATCAATTTCTGATCATTTAGTAAATGCTACATTCTTTATGAGCATAAAGCTTTCAGGGATCTTTCTATTCTAACATTTAGATATGAAAGGAAAAAACTTCCCATTCAATGTTTTCTACTAGAATCCTTTTTCTTAAAAAAAGAAATGTTTTTTTTCCAGTGGAAATCATTAGATAAAAATGCTTTAATCTTCTTTAAGAAAACTTGTTTCTTATGGATTTATACTTGTGTGCACTTCTTTGTACTTGTTTCTTATGGATAGTAATGTGCTGCTAGTTTAGCACATTACTTGAAATCAAACTAATGCTGAATTCTGAATGAAATCACTGACCATGGTTTTCCATGCAAACAGTGGTGATACTGATGCTAGGGTTCCAGTGACCTCCACAAGATACACACTAAACAAGCTAGGACTGAGCATAACCGAGGACTGGTCCCCCTGGTATAGCCACAAACAGGTAATTGATGGCCTTTCTCTCTTGTCAGATCTCAGACGGTCGACTGTTTGACTAATCTCTGTAAACTATATGTTCTGTAGGTGGGAGGGTGGACCATAATCTATGAAGGGTTGACTTTTGTTACAGTAAGGGTGGCTGGACACCAAGTCCCCACATTTGCCCCGAGGCAATCTCTGCAAATTGTTGAGCACTTCTTAGCCAACAAGAAACTGCCTTCATTCCCTTTTTAGACTATTTGTTAGTTAACTTCTTGTTGTGTACCTAAGAAATGTTTTTTTTTGTTCTGTGATCTAAATAAACAGGTGCTTTCTGCAATCTGTTTAGTATAATAGCATATCTTTGCCATGGCATTTTTCTTCTTTGATAATGTGTTGTATATGACCTAATCATTGATTAATGATACTGATATGATTTAGTATGGCCAACTAACTCCCTTTGATCATTTTCATTTTTGTTGAGGTTCTACATAAACACAGATAGCACATCAAAATTAAATTTTAGTGTGGTATATGACTGCTAATCCACTGGCAAAAGAAGGTTTAAATAGTTCAGCTTGCTTATCATATATATATATCAGTAATATCATCTTTGATTCTATAGTTAAAATAGACAGGATAATTAACCATCTCACTGGATGGTTAGATGCTGCTAATATTTCTTCAGAGGGCAGATTAAATTATTTGAGCGGTTAGTCCTAATGATAATTTGCAATAGTATATTAGATGATGCGATAAATAAAATTTGGGTATGAGATGTGAAGCTCATACAGATGATAAATTTTGCTTTAATCTGGAATATTTAATGTAAAATATTGGGGTTTTGATGTAAAATCACCGAAATTCTCGCTTCTACCTTTGTATCGGATAAAGTAAATAGTTTCAATTATAATATTTTTGAATAGCATCTCAACCTAAATATTATAAACTTATATAAAACATTGTAAGTGATGAACAAAGACTCAAAATATAATGCAAAGTCATTTGTCATCATTTGTAGGATTCCAAATATATATTCTTATTAATTTAAAAATTAAAATATGTAAAAAAAATTGAATTATACATCATACATGTCTTTGAATAGAATTATAATGTGTTTTTACCACATGTACAAAAACAATGTAATTGAAAAACAACTCCTCAAATTACAATATAAACTAATTTATTACCCCTGGTAGAGTTTTAAATGTATGTTATTATTAATCTGAAAAAAGGACAAAAATAACTTGAACTTCTATATCGATTATAATGTTTTTAAATAATATTTTAGTATTTCTGGTATCTCTATAAAAATACTACAGACCTTTATAATGCAAAAGATGATGACTTTTTAGGATATCTTGTTAGGGTTACTTTTGATACTAAAGAAAATAATAGTGGTGTAGGGGGAAAAAAACAAAAAAAAATTCTATTGGCAGTCCTCTTTTACTATTTATAATTTTTATTTTAATAATTTTTAATATTTCAAAGATATCCCTTTGATATTCTCAAGTTATCACTTATTTTTAATATTTTTCCAACTCCTACTATGTCATCTTTTTCTTCTCCTTCTGTTTTTTTTCTTTTATTTTTATTTTTCTTCTTCTCCTCCTCCTCTTAGTCACCGAATATGGTTGTTAGGGATTTAGTTAGGTTCCAACATTAGCACCGGTAGGGATGATTAACCGATAGATAAAGTGAGTTCTATGAAATAAGGATAATTGATGAGTTATGGAAATAAGAGTATGATTAATAATTGAGAGATTGTATTTAATAAAATATAATTTTATTATTATTTTTAAGTGATTGTATCAAGTAAAGGATTGTTAATAGTAAAATTGGGGTTACTAATAGCAATCTTCTTAATAAAAAAAAACATGGTGTTTTTTTTATAATTTACCATTTTAAATATATAAGATAAATAGAGTAAATTCTTGAAAAAACTTCTGATACTAAAAAATTTTCGTAGAGAGCTCTAAGTTTTAGTAAAATCATCATATTTTGATAAATTAGAAGAAATAAAAAATAAATGAAATTTCATAGTGTTTATATGCTAAAATTATTAAAAAATATGAAATAAATTCTTTAAAATAAAAAATAAATTAAAATTTTGTTCATCTAGGTCTAATGCAAAGATTTTTTGAAAAAAATCTCATATTGTTTTTATAACACCCTACTCCTATTTCTATCTATACCCTACATGTATGACTAAAGTAGGATATCAAATTTTTATTTTTATTATTACTATTAATAGGACTATAGTAAAAAGTATGCACTCTTAAAATTAAAATATACTAGTTACTAAACAAAATAATATGGTTTTGACACTTGTTCATACTTATACCATGTAACGAAAAGAAAATACAAATTTAACAAATCTAAAATTTATACACATAAAATATCTACCGGTCATTGTCCAAATCTGCATCGGCATAAGCTTGCACGTACTTACTTCCTTACCAAATCACTAAGGTGAGATTCTATTATTTTTACCAATAAAATAGGGTCTGACATAAGTAATCATTCAGTAAGTATAAGTCTTTATAATTTTATTCAGGTGATCATGCATCATGTCACGTATACAATATTTCAAATCTATTCGTATAATACATTTAATGGCAAATCCCTCATCCTATGACTTCTTTAGCAAACATAATCATACAACATAGCATATGCAAAATAAAGAGATAAAATTTTACTTCAAAATTATTATATGGATTTCTACTCCCCATATCATAACCTATATGTGCACTCTCATATTATATGCTATCATAATATATACATGTACTCTCACACTACACGTCATTATATATATATATATATATACTCCTATGAATATGTAATATATACATATACTCCCACATATATGTTATAATATATACGTGCACTCTCACACTACACATTATTTATTTTATAATTTTTTTATAATGTTTAGGTTTTTAAGCATAGCAATAATTTTAATTTTTTAATTTCTTCAAAATTTTTAATTTCCAACAAAAGATTATGCATTCATGCAATGTATTCTTTATATTTTTTACTTTTTCAAATAGTTTAAAAATATATAATTTCTTATTTTTTTTGTTAAAATCCCCCAACCGGATAATTTGTAATATTCGAGATTCTAAATAGGTAAAAACTTAATTTAAAATTTTGTAAGCTATTTTTTTTGGCTCAACTCAAAAACATTATAATTAGGTCAAAACATGATCAAATTAGGTGAAAATTTAGAACATCATTTAATGGTACCCATATATATATATATATATATATATATATATATATATATATATATATATATATATATATATATGATATTTTTTTATATATTTTTATATTTTTTAAATTTTAAAAATATGGATGAAATATTTTTAATATATAAACTTCTAAATAGGTGAGAAACTTGTCCTAAAAATTTGGTTCACAAGATCCAAACCTTTCTATCACTTATATAGTTTTTGGGGTCAACTAAAAAATAGTTTAACTAAGCCAAAATCTGCTGAAATTTTGAGGAGACTTTTATAACACCTTTTTCCATTTTAGAAAATTTAAAATATTTTTCTGGGGTTTTCAAATAAATTTGATATTTTTTAACATGATCAAAATTAGGCGAAAATTTTTTTAACATCATTGAATGACACCAAATTTGATGGACATGCATGATTTTTTTTTATTATTTTAGTGAATTTGTGATATTTTTTAGGTTTTTAAGCTTTTGAATAGTTTGAAAATTTTCAAATTTCTACAAGTTATTTTAATTTCCAACAAAACATGATGCTGAATATTTTTTAAACATTTGAGTTACGAAAGAGATGAGAAACCCATCCTAAAAGTTTGGTTCACAAAATCAAATCCCTTATTATATCACTTACGCTATTTTAATTTTTTTTAACTCAAAAATAATATAACTTAAAATTTAAAGGTAATTTGAGCAACTCAACCGAACTGCCCAACTTACTTTGGATAAAGATAAAAAATGGAAGGGATAAATGGGCACTAGCGTATACCTCACAAATCGGCACAATAGAGCATGTAACCACTGAATTTTCTGTAGTTCATAGGCTCGCAACAAAACGTAGCAAGGAGGGACACCCCGCCACCCATACAGACAGCATATTGTGGAAGGCTTGGTAGGCGGAGAAAGTCATAGGCACGAAGCATGGTCGGCGGAGCACGGGGGTTGGGAAAGGGAGCCCAGACAGTGGAAGAGCCAGTGTGGCCGGAAAATGGTAGGAGGAAACTCCAGCATCAAGGAAAAGCAACTAGCGCCACCAAACTATCGCGTCAATGGAAAACAGCTT